GTTCCTAGATACATTCTGTCACTATGCTTTACTCTAATGTGGACGTTCCTAGATACATTCTGTCACTATGCTTTACTTTAGTGTAGACGTTTCTAGTTACCTTCTGTCACTATGCTTTACTCTAATGTGGACGTTCCTAGATACATTCTGTCACTATGCTTTATTCTAATGTGGATGTTCCTAGATACATTCTGTCATTATGCTTTACTTTAGTGTAGACGTTCCTAGATACATTCTGTCACTATGCTTTACTTTAGTGTAGACGTTCCTAGATACATTCTGTCACTATGCTTTACTTTAGTGTAGACGTTCCTAGATACATTCTGTCACTATGCTTTATTCTAATGTTTACGTTCTTAGATACATTCTGTCATTATGCTTTACTCGCACGTTACAAATATTTCTGTATATTAAGCAGGTAAGAAACGATGAATGTCTTCACTAAGCTTCTATACGTCCACGAGTGTTCTTTTCAAATATTTCCCCCTTCTTTCTCTGTATGTTTATGCTATGCTGGGTATTATGCATGCATGCCTGAGTCAGTGTTCTTCGAAACATTGATGTATATATATATATATTCAAGCCATTAGAAGTTGGTTTATCAGTTTTATCTTTTAATTTTTGTAATGTTTTCTTTGTGTTCTATACAGCAGAGTGTTTTTAGATTAACATGGTTCTACCAGTTGATCAATCTTTTCCATTGTGTTTCAAAGCAGATGTGAATTAACGCGGAAAATTGGAGAAGTTCTTAACGAGCGTGTGAATACGCAATCTTATTGAATACGGTTTGTGGTGTTTGACAAGTACACCTGCTTCCTGAAACGGAAGTGTATAATCAATATCGTTTGTATTTTAACAAAGACCACTGCGAACATTTATAACGAAGACAATCTAGGTTAAAGGACTGGACAATAATTAGGGTTTGGGGAAGGCCATGAGCTGCCAAAAAAAAAAAAGGGTACCTTATGTTCAGAGTAGCTTTAAAGTAGCTTCATATAACATCGTGCTCATTACATTTAACGGTTTGCCTCTGGATTTGTATAGACAAGGGATTCCTCCTAGTTACCTTATTTTAAAAAAAATTCATAATAGAAATTTAATGATTCCAGCAACTGTTACAACCGAAGTCGAGAAAGTTTGTTTGTAAGTAAGCACAAAGCTACACAATGGATTCTAGCGCGAACTTACACTGCTAGAAACCGGGTTTCGATACTCGTGGTGGGCAGAACACAGATAGCCCATTGTGTAGCTTTGTGCTGAATTACAAACAACCAAATGTATTTTTATGAATTATGTATATTTTTGTTATAAGGATTATTTTGCATTGTTAACTTAGTATATGGATTTAAGACTAACCTAAGTCTCTTAAGCTCTTAAACTTCGGGACTTATTATTGGGATTATGGCCGAAAATTCGATTAACAAGTAGAATACCCAACCGACGAATCACTGCTTTCTAATCGTTATACACTTCTGTTTTATGACATTGCTCGCTCCTAGTTAGTTTGGTATGTTAAATTAATTACATTATATTCGCTCTGTTAAGTTTAGGCTCTGAGATACGTGGATTGCTAGCTTGCTTTGATCAATAGTTACTGACAGCTGCTATAAGCCTCCCGTTAGCTTCAATTAAACATGAAGTATCAAGATTTCATTTAATAATCTTTATGTTGTTGTTTTTTCAAGAAATTTGCATTAAACGATAAGATACTAAGTTATGTTTAGTAACTCGAAATGAAAGAAAAATGTTCAACCTTATACCAACATTTTTTGTGTGTAAGCACAATTAGAAATAACGGCGGGAAATGAATTCGGGGAGTTGCCGCAACCATCGCAAGACCCGATTCTCGTATTTCATCATTCGGAAGGTTTTGTTTGTTTGTTAAGCACAAAGCTACACAATGGGCTATCAATGCTATGCCCATTACGGGTATCGAAACCCGAGGTGAAAAAGTGAACGGTATATATTGCAGATAAACGTGGAGAAATATCTGCACCAATAGATGTCGTTATTATTATTATTATTATGATATTTAAAGGCACAGCCATTTCTGTCTGATCATAAGCTGTAAATAGATTAGGCTTAATATAGGTTAATCTCGGTAGAACTCTTTATAGAACGTGAGCAGATTTGCACAGCAGGCTCCAAAATAGTGAACGAGTGTATAGATGTTATTCTGATTTGTCCACCAACACATTTAACTATCTCTTTGTTTCTTTCTCTACCTATCTATCCAACTCTTTATTTCTCTCTCTCTCTCTATCTACCTATCTGTTTCAGAAACAAGCATATGAATATGATTATACCGAGATTTTAAGTCAGCAATCCAAACCCAGAAATGTCAATAAAACAATTATAAAGCGTAAGTTAAATCGAGTCCTAAGGAAAAAATAAACTACACATACATATATATAAAAGATGAACTCATATTTTTACCTTCGACGGTATTTAATCTTGGGATGAATATTCCAAGACCTACTACGGAGGATACCCCCCACCCCACCCCCCACTCCAGCAAATTAGGTTTATTGGTTGTCTCTTTGCATTCGAGGATGGTAGCTGTCTGTTTTATAATCTCTTACTCGGCATGATCCGATTGGCTATGTTATTCCGTTGCGCAGGAATTAAGTTTTATTGGCACATGCGGTGCGACATAAGTCGTCTTTTCTAATCCTTACTGCCTGCATTTCAACTAATCTGCCAGGGAGCTCGAGCACAGGCACGAGCTTGTTCTCGCTGAAGCAAGAGCGGGAGGGTATCGTTTAAGTTTTCCGTTATTGTTGGCAGAATTAAATGTCAAAGAGATTACCGGGGTTTGATGGCAAGTCTAAGCTTCTACCGAGTGTTACGTCACGTTGTATCGGGGCATGGAGAACGTTTTCGAGGGTTAAATTTTATTGTTTAGGTTTGTGGGCGAGTTTTTTTGTTGTTGTTTTTTTTGTATCAGAAGGTATTTTAGCCGCCAACCCCCCTCAAAAAATAAAAATAAAGGAAAAGAGGTGTCTATTCTTTAAAAATGTTATTTGTCGTTTAAAATGAGGTAGAGAAAGTTTTTAAGTAAATATTATCTTTGTTAACAAGGTGATTTTCATATGGCTAAAAAAAATACGTAACAATACATCCTTTCTTCTTTTCAATATTCCAAAATTCCTTGTTTGTCTATCCTGTCTATTATCGATTGATTTGTTGTTATTCAATTATACATCTATTTTTTCCTGTTATTATCAATCAGATATGAAAAGTCCAAGAATTATGATGTATTTGTCAATGTGTGTGTGTGTGTGCTTGCCATTTGATCCATAAGTTTTACTATATAGAAAATTATGGTATAAATACTTTTCCAAAAGATGGCGCCACTCAAAAAGAAACGCAATTGCTTGTCGATAAGAAAATGATTTTCGAAGAATACTTACTCTGTGGTAGTTGTTTAGTAGTAGAATAAAATAATTCTTGGTGTTAAAGAGGTATTTTTGAAACATATATTTGTCTTTAGCACATACAGATAGGTGTGCGTTGCGCACCAGGAATCGCTTTATAATACTACTAGTCTCATTCGAATCTAATATATATATAGATATAAATTGTTATATTTTCTCAGTACAATTATATCCTGAAGAGTGATCTTTGATGTCACGAAACCGATTGACGAAACTAATAAAGAAGAGAAAAATAGTCTGATATTCCAGTGTTTTGTTATTCGTATCCACATGTGAATCTTATCGATGTTTAAATATATATATATATATAAATAATGTAATTTTATGGGAGGGGAATGAAGATGTGGGTGCTCTAGCCCACAACGTCCTACATACATTTATGGTAAGATATGATATTGGAACGTTTGGTTAGAGTACATATTTTTGTATGTTTTTGAAATAAAACCGCATTATATTTGTTTTAATATATCCATTAAGCTCAATATTTTTCAGTTAATATATATTTTTTAATTTTATACGAATGTCACAATGTTAACATTTCTCTCATTTATATATTTTTATTTATTTATTCTTAAACGTAATGGTCTCTGTTTGCTTAATGTTCATATCTTGTATCTTACAAGATAACAACACCCAACGGTGTGCAATTTTTCATAAGCTATAATCATTTGTTTTGCTGGTGATCTAAAAATATTGGCTCAACTATATATTCGTAATTCAAGAAGTTCTGGGTAAGCTACCTTTTTCTGCTTGTGGAAAAACAGGAAATTAGTTGTGGAAAGACATAACAGGAGTTAGCAGTGAGCGTCATACTTAGGTCGAAACATTTCACTTGAGCTCGACTTTATAAGAGTATTCTGTTCACGCATGCGTTTCTGCTGAGTAACCAAGATAACAGCAAAATAAAGGGAAACCAGATAAGGATGCTTAAAATTGCAAGTTCCCTTTTGTACACAGTGCTATTATTTCCATAGTAGTTTGCAGTCCCAGGATCGTTAGAGAGCCAGTAATGGAATGGCAACACAATTATCGCGAATCATGGTGAAAACTTTGTTTTGAAACAAAGCCAAGCTTTAGCTTTGATTTCCAGTCACGATTATCGCTCCACCTACATCTTACGAACGTGTTGATAATTAATAAGCACGTTGTATAAAGCTGGTAATGCTTTTCCATAGGCTCTGTGTTTAGTTCCATATCGCCTACGTAACTTTGTATCTTATCTGATGTTTCCGGTCGGATGGATGTCTTTGTCGCGAAACTAGGCCGACTTTATTAAGGTAGGCATGATCGACCTTGGTCCATTGTAGTCGCTCTGCTCTTGGTTTTCGGTCCTTTGCCCTAGAATGGACATTACACGCTTGACTTCCTGGCCCGGGTACGAAGGGAAGTGAACTCTAAAGGGGTTGGTATCGTTACATACTAAACTCTTTTGTTGGGTTTCGGTGTTACTGTTAATTATTCTGATCCACACCATGCGTGGTTCTGTGGGAAAAAGGTTCTTTCAAAGTTCGCGAATTGTGATCTGATTTTATGTTATACGTCACGTATTTTTTTATATTTCAGGATCAACAACTAACATTGATGTTGGAGGGATGTGTGGAATGGTCAATTTACGAGACAGACCGTTAGGGGAATTTCAACATAACACAACGCCACCTTTTTCACCAAGCAAGAATATATCCAAAACAAGACCGAAGCGAATGCGCACTTCCTTTAAACACCATCAAATGCGCACTATGAAATCTTATTTTGCCATCAATCATAATCCAGATGCTAAGGATTTAAAGCAACTGTCTCAAAAAACAGGACTTAACAAGAGGGTACTACAAGTGAGTTAAATAAGTAAAATAAGTTACCCATTAAAAAGTTTCACACTATCTCATATATATAACGAATTAGGCGTCGTAAGTTAATAAATATTACATTTCGTAAATAAAATAACGATAAATTAATTAGCAAACAAAACAACTTTCCAGTCATAAAAATTATTACTTTCTTTATACAGAAAGCTGAAAACATTATGTCGATTTTGAATATGTAAATAAGCAAGTCACGTAACAACCAAAGCCGATGAAAAGTCGCGTTAGCACGGAATGTATCAAAATTATATTCTGAAATTCCTTGGTGTTATACATGTAGTTTCATGTCACTGGACATTAATCTCATACCAGCCTTTTCATACATTCAGATAATAAAAATGTGTTGAGATCGGGAATTTAGAATTTACAAGAAGGGGATTTCCCTTGTACTTAATGATATAGAAAAACAAGAGAATGTGTATCAACATTGGTATCCAGGACCACTCCGAAAGAGACCTGCAACAAGTTATCCTCTAGCCGTGGTAAACATAGTACAGCGTCTTGTAACAGGCGATAATTTACAGACGCAAAGATCAATGTCAAAAACCGTCGCCGTCCATGTGCCTCTCGCAACTGTACCAACACAATAAAGAAGCATATCTATCTATAAAAGCGACACAAGTCAGGTATACATATCTTACTTCCATGATATAGCCCTTCAACCGTCACCAACTTCGAGCAGATAGAAAATGAAACGACGATTCATGGTATTCCATACGAAGACATACTGGTAAAAGTCGTCAATGGATTTTTATCGGATTGTTGGAAAAGATGCTGAGAAACCATTTTCCTCGTACATTAGACGGAATATGGAAAGCATGCAAGAAGATTTGGTGTGCTTTTGTCATGACACTTGTATCGAAGAAACGTTATAGAAAGCCCTTAAGATTTGCAACCAAAATTACAGATTATTGCCGTAAATATTGCCGAGCTAAATGATGTTTTAAACCTACACCAACATAACAGTCCCAACGATTTGGAAAATTTTCACTCTGGTCTGAAGTTTGGTTTTAAATGTGTCATTAGATGGCCAGAGAAACGAATGCATTATTTACATGACTCAATTGACATTGGTGTAAGTCGGGTGAATTATTCTTTCCCAAAGTGACATTTTGTATTTTCAGATGCACTTGATTTTGTTTATGAAATAATACTCTGTCGAGTACATGAAAAATATTTTAATCGCCTCTGTGAAAATCTTCAAGTATTTGTTTTGCGAACATCAATGACAAAAATTAACAATTCTAACAACAAAACTACAACGTACAGGCTTAAGTAATAACGATTCTAGTTTCATAAACAATATTTGTTTGGTTAGCCTCTCCCAGGTTCAGCGGTAAGTCTAAGGGCTTATAACTTTAAAAATCGGGTTTCGATACTCGCGGCATGCAGAACGCAGATAGCCCATTGTGTAACTTTGTGCTTAAATAGAAACAAACAATTCGTTTGTTTAGTGCAAAGTTTTTACAATGGGCTATCTGCACTCTGTCCGCCTTGGGGAATCGAACCCAAGATTTAAACATTGTAAGTCCAGAAACTTACCGCTGACCAAACACTGACTCACGAACAGTAAATCTCTAGTTTTACATTACAGCTGTGAAAAATTAACTCAGGCTTGTACTTGCTTTTTTTTGTTATTATTTTAGATGTAAAATTATGCCTTAATTCTTCCACTTGATGTAAATTCACAATGAATCTATGTTTTAGGTTTGGTTCCAAAACGCTCGAGCCAAATGGAGGAGAAACATTCTACACCAACACACCCAAGGACCGAAAGTTGTCGAAGAATCACAACCATTGGTGGAAATGACGGCAGAAGAGACTTTACTCAACGCTCTGTGAACCTTCCTAAAGCACACTCCGCACTTTTCACCAAAGAGGAACAGGGCGCTTCAACATATTCAGCCTTGTTCAAAGAGTGTCGGGATAAATTTAGTGACATTACGAAGTCAGAATAATGAACTCGTTTAGGTTATACTTTTGTTTGACCCTTTTTTAGAACCGTGTGAGACGATAGAGGGTTAATCCCATAGGAATAAAACAACGATCGACGAGTAATATAAACGATACTGAAACCTAATGTCCACGTGTATTAAGGCTGTATATTTTCCCTAGCTACTGACTTAAGAGTAGAGAGAGAAGTATTAACGTCTATCTAGATGTCAATAAACTTGGTTCCTTCTTTCATTATAAATGGCCTGGTTTCAATGATTCTATACACACACTACTAAACACGAAAACTGAAACTATAAACACGATCAGTTTGTTTGTATGTTATTAAGCACAAAGCTACCATGGGCAATCTGTGCTCTGCCCACTAGGGTAGCGAGCCCCGATCTTTAATATTTAATAGCAAAATAGGTCCAAAGAACTTCTGGAGTGCAAACATTCAAAATAAATATAGTAACTATAACACTGAGTTTTCACTTACTTCCTAGTAAACATATGTACGTTGCATGGACTTGTGCGCATCTCCTGAACGAAATCTGATAAATTCTCTCAAAAGGGTTTGTTTGTTTGTGAATGGTTTGTTAATATCTTTGATGTGACGATGAAAATTTTTAATTTCTATGTTATTTTATGTGACGTAGGAGGGGGAGGGGAATGCTTATGGGGTAGAATTTACTTGGATTTCGTACCATATTTTGCAAAACACTTTTTACTTTTATGAGAAGATAGTGATGTGTTAACTGTCACCAATGTAAGCGAAATACATGTATTTTTACTGTCACCAATGTAAGCGAAATACATGTATTAAAAATACGAAAGAGGGGAAGATAACACGATATTTACTCATATTTTGGTTACACTCAGTTTACCTTTTATAATTTTTTGAGAGTAATAGAAGAATATATATTGTTCAGGAATGATATCACAAATTTTGAGCACAATAGTGAGTCTTGACACTTTTTTTTTATGATGGGAGTGAATTAATTTGTTTTGAATTTCGCGCAAAGTTACACGAGGGCTATCTGGGCTAGCCGTCCCTAATTTAGCAGTGAAAGACTACGGAGAGGACAGCTAGTCAACATCACCCATCACAAACTCTTGGGCTACGAATAGTTGGATTGTGCGTCACATTATAACGTCCCCACGGCTTAAAGGGCAAACATGTTTGGTTTGTTTGTTTGTTTTGAATTTCGCGTAAAGCTACACGAGAGCTATCTGCGCTAGCCGTCCCTAATTTAGCAGTGCAAGACTAGAGGGAAGGCAGCTGGTCATCACCACCCACCGCCAACTCTTTGGCTACTCTTTTTACCAACGAATAGTGGGATTGGCCGTCACATTATAACGTCCCCACGGCTGAAAGGGAGAGCATGTTTGGTAGGACGGAGATTCGAATCCGCGACCCTCAGATTGCGAGTCGAGTGCCCTAACCTCCTGGCCATGCCGGGCCCAACATGTTTGGTGGGACGGAGATTCGAACCCTCGATCCTCAGATTGCGAGTCAAGTGCCCTAACCACCAGGTCATACTAGACTAACCGAAGGTGAAGATTGGATTCATAGTAGGACTTTACATGATACAGAAGTGCAGATTTTAAACACTTTCCATGACAGGAGTGCAGATTTTGAGTACAATTGGAGTTTAGAGATTGTTCAAGTTGGAATAGCAGACTTTGGGAAGAATAGAAATTTGAACATTTTCTTGAAGGGAATGCAGATTTTGAGCGCAATAGGTGTTTGAATATTGCTCATGACAGGATTACAGATTTTCACCATTATTCATAATGAAATTCGTATTAAATATTTTATAAAGTGGCTTGTTGAATCTAATTTTAAGTTTCGCAGCTCAATAAATTTATTGTTTTTAAGGACTCCTATTCCCCTCAACCCCCCCCCCCCCACACACACACACACAAG